CATCTGAAATGAGACTTTCAGCTTCACAGATTGAGAACTGGATCTCTATCAGGCTTGTTTGTAAATGCATTAGATTGACCCTCAGCTTCTTGGCAAGAAATCAAAGCCACATTTATTCGGTCACTCATTTCCAGCATTGATAGAAATAATGAACTACGCTCTCATGCTTTCCGTTCCACACATAGTAAGGATGGAAAATAAACTGCGTCAGGCTCAGTCAAATGTAGCAGAAGGCTTTGGCAGTGAAGACTAGTGAAAACAAAGATGTATGGTCTGAAACACAATTAATTCATCAAGCAGTGGGTTCTGGGAAGACACTTTAAGGACAATAAAAGACCTGATTGGGCTGACTCCGCCAAGTTCCCATTAGTAAAGAACATGTGTTGACCTTCATGTCTTTTAGATGCTGGGTTCAGGTCAGTTAAGCATTGTTAAGAAACAGTAGATTCACAATGGGGACACTTTTAACATTTATTGTAAGCTTTAAAGCTCAGGATATGCTGAGAATAAAGAAATCAAGCATACTACGAGAGAGCCCAATCTCATTCTGTTCTCGTTGGCATTTAGCCACCTGAGGTCTTTCTGGAATAGATGCTTAATAACATTTTTTGAAATACAACCATTAAGTTCCCCGTCTTGTCCATTTGGATATTGTTAGGGGTTGATTGTGATGAGAGCTGTGTTATTTCGTCTGGCAGGCAGCTCTGAAGAAATATCAGATGGAACACAAAAGCAAAGGAGAGAGTCTGGAGAAGTGCCAGGCCGAACTGAAGAAACTGCGCAGGAAGAGTCAGGGCAGCAAGAACCCCTCCAAATATGGAGACAAGGAGATGCAGGTGAGTCAGTGCTCTTCAAATTTCAGCAAATGAAACTTACTTTTAAGTACTTTCTTTTTGGTGGACTAGTTACACCAAAAATTAGAATTCTATCACCATTTATTCAGCCTCATATCATTCCAAACATGTAAATCCTTCTTTTGTGTAACACAAATGAAGATGTTTTGAAGAATGTAGTTGTTCGCTTTTTTCCAAAGACCCAAACAACTTTTATTTTGGTCTGTTTCTCATTCAAAACTCTATCATATGACTTTAGAAGACCTGAAATATAACAAATTAGTTGTATTGACCACGTTTATGATACTTAAATGGTGCTTTGCATCCTTTTTGAAGCTTGAATGCTCTAGTCTTCATTAATTATAATTGCTTGGAAAAGAGTGTCCAGTCTTTTCAATGTAATTATAAGTGTCAATCTTCATATTTTCTCTTTTTTTGTTGCATGGAAGAAAGTAATACAGATTTGGAACAACGTGAGGCTGAGTAAATTATGAGAATTTATTTTTGGATGAACTATTTCTTTAAAATTTCTCTCAGTGTACAAAAGACATAAATCAATTCAAGTCTTGAAAATGTAATGTCTGTGCATTCTGAGTTTGGCAATTCGTGACATCCAACTGAGACTTCATGCTGGGATGAAACATTGTGGGAATTCTATAAATCTGTTTCTGTAAGTAATCTCTATAAATCCCACTCTTTCTCTCTTCACAGTTTGAACATACAGCTTTGAACACACTCGAGAGAGAATGAGAAAATTAAACATGAGCATGTATGTTAAAACTTTATCAAAATGTGTGATCACATTTTTACATTGGCTACAGTAAAGATTTCCAAACATAATTTTGCTTTGCTACAATTACAGTGACTTATAACAAAAAAAAAATTTGACAGGCAAAAGATTCATTAAATAAAAAAATAAAAAACTCGCAGACAATTTGGTTATTCACAAGCTTTACTCAGAGTCTATAAAAATCTTTACAAGAATTTTTCACACATTATGGATCTAAAGGGTTTATAAAAGTTTTCATTATCTTATTTTTTGATAAAGTTATATTTTTATAATCTGATATGCTGTTGCTCTTTTCATGCTCTGCTTTGCACTGAATCAGACAATAAGCTGTGAACACAGAAAAAATTATTCCAGTTTTAGTCTGTTTGGCTCTTTAGGTGCTAAAGAAAATCCCACTCTGTTTGGCTGAAGTCCTTTCATACAATATTGTACTTGTTTTGAGTGGGTTTCATTGTGTGTGTGGTGTCCTTGTGCTTTTGTTCATCGAGGCCTTGTTGTACGGGGGTTGAATTATCGGGATCGCGGTTTGTTTTGAACGTACGCCTCTCACTACCGTCGTCACAAGGTGCGAGGTCAGGGGGAAGTGGGAGTGTTGTGCTGTGGGCTGCCCTGGGGTCAGTTCATGCCGTTAGCTGTAGGTGTGCTCCTCATAGTGGCGTAGGAACACACTGTTGCGTAAAACGCTGTGGGCTCTGCTTGCTTGTTAAACACACCCCACAGGTGTGTATAAAAGAAAAAACAGAAAGGTGAGTGGGTTGTTTTAAATGAATTACGTGAACTTCCTCTTCCGGGGTTTAACAATAACTGTAGGACGATCAGAGTGAACCAAACATCAGAGATGATTGATTTGTTATACTGTATCAGGGTTGGCCAAACTTTGCTTCCTTTTTTGAGTTGTGAAATTTAAATGGGAATGACAGGAAAATAAATTTATTGAACTGTAATTCAAAGAATTTCTGTAACTGAAAGAAAGGAAGCTGCTTCATGTTGAGTGGCTCCAATTTGAAAACTGGAAAATTACATTTAGGAAAAAAACATTTTGGTGTTCTTTCACCAGCTAATTTAGTGATATTTTGTTTTTATTCACATAAAATATAATAAAACATATGTATGCAATATTTAAGCAGTTATAGGCATTTCTTTGAATTTAATTTCCATTTAAATTCTGCTGGCTTAAACCATCATGCTCTGTATATGCTGTTTTATGTTGCAAATCTTGGCCTTCCGTAGACCTCAATGGATTCAGTGCCAAGCAGAAAC